GGGATTCGGAGAATGATTTTTGTTTTGAGGAGTTACGGAAATTACATAATTTTGTTTGTGACTGATAAAGATATTTCACCTTATATCTGAATATGATCTCTTCTATCTATTTTTAGTCTATTTCAAATTGAAGGTATTTTTATGCACACTCATAAGGTGGTGTAGGTTGTCGGTGTTTTAAACAGTGATGTTTTTTTCATACAAAGTACTTCAGTCAAATACTTAGGCAATGGATGTGTGGGTGGTTGGCGGGTTGTCTGGTGTGGTTTACTCATTCTTTACCATCAAACATTTATCAGTGGGTAGTTGGCGGGAGCTCTGGTGGGGTTTACTCCTTCTTTCCTATCAAACATCTGTCGTCTTTATCTCTCCTCCTTCTTTTTTGTGTTTGTTTCTCCCTTGTAACACCTCTAATCTTGGGCTCTTATATGACCTGATTGTGTTGCAAGTGCCGTCAAACTCTTACCACCCCTGGGGTAGTGCCATTGACTGTAGTGTCTTTAGGCCATTCCCAAAGGGGGGACATTTTTCGTTCAAGCACAGTAGAATTGTAAATGGGCTGATTCATGTCATGCTCATATCTGTGCCTGATCTACAACAGGGAACTGCTGCTTTTTCTTTCTTAATCCTTACTATTGTCATTTTCCTCTACTTCTTTTGTATCTTTGTCACTCTCTTGTGACCCGCTATTTCTGGGGTGCCTTGATGGTCGAAGCAGACCTTGTGCTGTTGAAGCTAGAGAGGTAAGCAAAATAAGTCTGATTCCTGTAAAGACTTCTCTGTTGACACCCACCCCTGGTGCTCATATGAACTTATGCAGTTGCGAGCGTCATAAAACCTTCTACTATTAAAAGAAAAAAACACAAAAAAACTCTTACCAATACTAAGTCTTCTGTGTACTCAAACAAAAGAATTTACTCATCATCTCTGCCTTTATCCCCACAGCTTCACAACGAGACCCTGAAGAAACAGATTAGCTCCCTGGAGGAGGAGGTGAAGGAACTGAAGCAGAACGCCAACTCCAAGCAGGGAGAGGCCAAACAGCAGAACAAGAAGGTATTGCTGCTTTCCCAGATAGCAGGGTGTCGCTGCATGCAGTCGTAAGAGATCTAACAAAAAGCCTTCTCGGATAATGTCGAAAGATCTCGGAGGTCTCGTGTGCAAGTTGCGCGCGTTTAAATAATGCTAATAATAAATAGCATTTGTATAGCGCATATCCCCCCTCAACAGCAGGCTCTATGCGCTTTACACTATATTATTACCCCAGCAAACCATAGAACACTCTGAAACATTCTCAGCTTCCCGGGAAGCATACATTAAAAAGCATTAAAAAGATCCCTTGGTGGCCACTTGGGCAAAATTCAAATTAATTCCTACCAGACATACTGAGATATTATCATGTTGGGGCAGCATGCAGATGCAGTGGGCGGTTGCGCTCAGAGATTATTGGGTGTGGCTACATGCAGAGATTAATGAGCCTATAGCAACATCCATAGGTATGAGGATGTGACTGTATGCAGAGATAGTGGTGTACGGTTACATGTAGAGATAATTAGATGTAGCCTGATACAGATATAGATCTTGTGGTATTTGGTTTTCCTACAGAGATAGTATTGCACACAAACACACATCTGTAGCATACAGACTCACATAAAAACACGTGCATGCACTCATACAGTCACCACTCACAAGCAGACACACACATATACGCACACATGCACACACACACACACACACACACCACAGACTCTCACACACACA